TCGCTGGCGTGCACCGCGTAGCCCTTTGCCTTGAGCATGTCGATGATCATGCCGCCGATCCAGCCCTTGGGGCCGACGACGAGGAAGAGGGGCGCCGCGGCGCCGGAGGTGCTGTCAGTCGTCGCCATGCCGAGTCTGGAGGGGGGTGCAATTTGATTCTCCGTTTGGCCAGTGTTTGGCCTGACGACGTTGTGCGGGTTCGCTGATGGGCTGGGGCGGTTGTCCCCCCTGCAGTTTTGTCACATCCGACGGCGCATCGGCATGGCCCGGCGGCGCACGCTGGCCGCGGTGGCGGCGCTTGCGGCGGTCGCGCTGCTGCTGCGGTCCCCGCGGGCGCCGCCGCCGCCCGCGCCGCGGCCGTGCGGGCCGGCGCCGGGGCCGCTGGAGCTGCCCGCCGGGCGCGGGCGCGGCGTGTTCGAGGTGACGGCGTGCGCGCCGCTCGGGCTCGCGTACGTCCACCCGTTCAAGAGCGGCGGCACGGCGCTGCACCGCCAGCTCGCGCGCTTCTGCCGCGCCGGGGCGGGCGCCGGCCGCGACGTGTTCACGTCGGGCGCGCACGGCGGCGGCCTGCTGCCGCCCGACGCGCTCGCCGCCGCGTGCGCGTCGCCCGGCTGGACGTGCTACGCCGGCGTGCGCGACCCCGTCGACCGCTTCCTGTCGGGCTTCCACTACGCCATGGCCCTGCGCGCGGACCCCGCGCTGCGGCCGTTCCGCCTGCCGCAGGGCGCACCCCGCAGCAGCTCGATCGCCGCGCTGCTGGGCGTGCTGGCGCTGAAGGAGAACCGCACCGAGCTGGACTCGCACCTGCTGCCGCAGTCGGCCTTTCTGCCCAGGCCGGGCGCCCCGCTCGCGGCCTTCAACCTCTCGCACGCAGACGAGGCGCTGCGGCCGCTGCTGTGCCGCGCACACGCGTGCTTCTGGGCGCGGCGCGGCGCCTCGCGCGCTCCGGACTGCCCCTACGAACGGCTCGAGAGGTCGCGGAGCAAAGGCGCGCGGGACGCCCTGCGGCCGCAGTACGACATCAAGGCCTCAGAGCTGTCCCGCGGCACGATCGACAGAATAGCGGCGCTGTTTGCCGAGGACTACTGCCGTTTCAGCCTGCCGAAACATCCGTCGGCGTCGCGGGCGGTGGATTGCACTAGCCCGTCCTGAAGCCCGCACTGGGTGGTCTGCAGTTCGCGTTTGCGGCCGGCAAGTCATCGTGCCCACTCTTGCGAAATGCCCCGCTTGCTCCGTGTAGCGGCGGCACTGTCACAGCTGGGAAAGAGCGTGCCGAAGTCTGGGAAACCGGAACGGTGTTTAGGCGGCTTCGTCGCCACGGATGACCACCAAGCGCACCTCGGGAAGGTCGCTGTCCGTCCTCGCTGATACTTGCCAAAGACGCCGGCGATGATGCCGCTCTGGAAATCCACGGAGAGCTGGTTCGCCCCTGCATCACCAAAGTGATGCCGTTCGACGACCTCGTGCAGAATCAGGTTCTCAATTCCCCGCTCAACTGCCCCAACCACGGCGGAAAGGCCTCTTGTTCCCAGGTTCTGGTCGCATACGGCGAGCAGTTCAGCCAGCAGGGACAGTGGCCGCGAGAGCTCCGGGGACACGTTCGCAGCCAGTGGGCCGTGCCCCGCCGGCGGCGCACCCGGGTCCTCCCCGGGCACTTCGTCGTCCGTGGCGTCGCTGTCTTCCCCCGCGTTTGCTCTTGACCAGCTGCGTCTATGCCCTCAAACGTGTGAGACTGCAGCTTCCAGGCGACGCGCACGGTCGCCCCACTTTCGCAGGTACGGTCGGAGAGCACGAGCGACGGTGTTTGTGATGCCCCGGCCGAGAATGGAATAGAGACGGTCCGTGGCATCTTCGTACTGCGCGCCAACGCCCGAAAAGACAGAGGCCGTGACATTGGAATGTGCCGCATGCGGTGCTTCGTTCACCAGGTGGCTCCAAAGCTCCAAGTAAGGCTGGTTTGCTACGTGAGCTCTGCGCTGAGTTGCGGAGCTGCGTGCAATCACCTACCAGACTTTCGCCCCAGTCGTGCATTGCCGACGACAGGTGCTCCAGCGAACCTATCCAGCGGCAGACGGCAGTAACTCCGGCACCGTCCAGGCGCACGGACTCTGTCGCCGAGATGGAGAACACCGGGCCCGAAAGGTTAACCAGCTCGCGGGCCTCCCGGAGCACGTCCTCGAGGTAATCCGCCAGCAATACCAGGACAACCTCGTTGACAAAATACAGGCGGTGCCGAAAGTCCGGCAAGAGAATAAAGCGGCTTGCCAAACCTTCGATCAGCAAGACGAGCTCGTCGGACGAACGCGAAGGGCGAAGCTCGTCGCTGGCAGCCTGGTCCACCGACGATGCCCGTTCCCACGCCGAGCCTTCCTGGGAGCCACGCAACGTCTGCGACAGTGCCTCCATCGCACCTGTCGGGACCGCAGTTGAGCAAGAGACCAACGGGCACACCGCACGAGAGACCTGTCTTTTCGATCCTGACCCATGCCTCAAACCAGTCCCGATCGCCGGTAAGCTGGGCACCCAGACCCTCCCAGCGAGCTTGTGACGTGCCGATGGGCCGATAGGCAAAATCGGTCCGCATGAGATCGTCGAATAGGAGGGTCTCGTGCACGTAGTGCGGGACGAGCTGCGATTGCTTCAGCAGAAGCGCCATATCGGTTCGAATACGCTCGGCGACGGGCACAAGAAGGAAGAAAACGAATTCGTTCTCGAATGGGGGAAAGTAAGGCGGAAGTAGCCATCGACCGTTGGGCATACACACTTTGGCATCGACTCGGGCGAGCCCAGTTGCGTTCAGCATGGGCTGTACTACTTGCGTCAGGAAAGCCTTGTGTTCCCGGACCAGCTCCGCGACGTGGTGATACATCCATTCGGGCTGCCGCGAGTTCGGGATGTGAGGGAGTTGTTGCGGTCCATTGAGCTGGAGTGTCTGCACGTCACACGTAAGTCCGGCCCACCTTGTCGAGGCGGTTTGTCGGTCGCGATCCGCAGAAATGATACCGCAATCGAACTGCGAGGGGCTCGGCAAGTACACCAAGCGCCATGATCGGCTCGTGGTCAGAGTCCACTGGCAAGCTGCTGATGGTCCGAACCATGGCCCTCGGCTTTGGGACGTAGCTGCGACAGACTTCAGCGACTCATTATCGCCGTCGGTTCGCGAGCACTGACGGCCGTTGAAAAGCCAGCAGGTCCGTAAAGGAGTCCCTGAACGCGGCGTTCGCTCCATCGACGGTCTGGCCACGGGCGAGATCGCCAGCAAACTGCTGCATCTTCGTCACGGACGGCCACCCGATCTGCTGGGACGCCTGCGATAAGCGCCTGGAGAGGACGACTCATTAGGCACGTCATTTCGCGCGCGGGTGCCGTTTGATGGTGACCTTGACAGCCGCAGCCTCAAATCATCGAAGCTCTGCGTCAGCATCCGCGACGCGGCCCTAAAGAGACGGTCGCAGCTCCCTGCCGTGTCCGCATTCGGGCCACCTATCGACAACCAGCAATCGTAAAGCGAAGCATAGCCTTGTAGGGCTTGCTTTAACAACGACGTGTCGGCACTTGTTGCGACCTTGAACCTGAGCCTACTTGTCACCGAGCCGAAGCCAAGCGAGCAGCAAGCTCGGCACCGTACCGGAGCGTCTCCAGCTGCACAGCCGTTTCCAAGAAGCTCCTCGAAGCTTTCGTGCAGAGCAGAGCCTGTTGCAGCGATCCCAGCCGTTCCGCCAAGTGGTCTGCGGCGCGCGCACCATGGTCCTCGCTGCCACGCGATTCGCGAGCCACAGAGCGCTTGTTGGTGTCTAACCGGGCGCCGTCTCCGTCGGCTCGCAGAAGGGAAGCCTCAAGACGCGTGCAAAGGGTCCTCGACGTAGCAAGTAGCGCGGCCAAGATGCCTTCGAGCGCCGACACTCGCTCCCGGCAGTTCTTGGCCGCCCCCGCGAGTCGAGCAGAAGAGCCATCGCGGTCTGGAACGCGCGCGTCCACCACTTCCGCAAGGAGACGTGACGGCATCTCGTGCCGACCCGGCCGAGGACCCGATGACAGGGAACCGGCCGACGCGTGCCAGTACGCGTTTTGGCCAGCTCTGCCGCGTCCGGCCGTTGGCTACACAGCGGAGCCAATCATCAGTCAGGCGTCACGATCCCGTCCCAATCACCTAACCCCACCGGATGATCCGATCTCCGCAAGGGAGCCACCCCGGCCGCACAATCATTCTCTCGAGATCGCACGGGGCCGAAGGGGGCGGGATCGCATGCTATGCTGTTTCACTGTCCCTTGGGCGCGCCGAAGGCGCGGTGTCTGCAGTGGCCTTGCCCAGCAAAGGACGACAAGTGCTATGGAGACACTGTCGCAGACGTTGCGTGGCTCCCCGCGAAGGCTCGGCGTGGGAACGGGCATCGTCGATGGACCGGGCTGCCAGCGACGAGCTTCGCCCTTCGCGTTCGTCCGACGAGCTCGTGTTGCTGATCGAAGGTTTGGCAAGCCGCTTTATTCTCTCGGACTTTCGGAACCGCCTCATTCGTCAACGAGGTTGTCCTGGTGTTGCTGGCGGATTACCCAGAACGTGCTCTGGGAAGCCCGCGAGCTGATCAACCCGTCCTATCCATCGCTCTGGCAGAGGTGCGCATCAAAACGGTACTGGAACCTTGCTTCCGCTGATAAGGAAGCAAGGAAAATGGAATTTCGCCCGGGGTTGTTCTCTTCTCCTTCCTCTGCCTCCTTTCCCTCCTCCCCTTTCCCCTCCCCTTTCCCGCAAAAGTTTCGGTTCAAAGAAGATGGCGAGGACGTATCCGAAGGGGAGCTGACCCTCGTGCGGAGGAAGCTGTAGACGACGGGAATGTAGGAATGACGGACGATGATTGGATCCGGAACCGACGATTTGGCCAAGACTTGCCGCGAGGCCAAAAAGGAAAAGTTACTTTTAGCCATCGACGACGGGAATGTAGAATGACGGATCGGAACCGACGATTTGGCCTGGACTTGTCGCGAGGCCAAAAAGACTAAGGTGGGACTTCCGTGGATTGAACACGGGACCTTAGCATCTTCAGTGCCACGCTCTCCCAACTGAGCCAAAGTCCTATACCTGCGTACGAAATGAAGTATCGTACTTGAAGTCCGATGTATCGTACTTCAAGTCCGATACCTGAATGCGTATTGTCGGCCAAAAGTTGGGAGAGCGTTAGACTGAAGAAGTACTCTGAGGTCATCTACAGGTCCCGATTTGTTGGCCCTGGGCGCGAATAGCAATCCTCAACGCTGCTTGCTAGTGTGGAGGACGCGAAAGTGCTTCGCAGCAGGCTGTGCAGCACGGACTCGTGAGGTTGGGGTAGGCGCGCCCGATACGGAAGTATCGGGTCGCTACCTCGCGTCGGAGCCACCTTGATTCGCATAGCGAGCTTGATCTGGTGTCCTGTCAACGAAAGGTTGCTGTGTGCGCCGGCTCTTGGCCAGATCTTCTCCGACGAAGGCCTGGCCGCCCCCCTGACCGCATTTGGAACGCTCATTCAGTTTCGTCTTTCCTCTACTGCTTTCCAGTTGATTCGCTGGCCAGCGCGACGTTGTCCGGAAATGGAGGTTGGCGAGCAGCTTTTCAAACCAAGCCCGTGGAAGTTCCAGATCTAGTCCCCAGTGCGCCGCTGCCCCTCAGGCTGCTGACTCCGAGGTAACCGTCCGCGCGAGAGGTTCAGGCGGGGCATGGGTGCGACGAACACGCGACTCGGCACGGTGCTCGAGGTGGTGCTTTGTGGCGATGCTTCGCCTCATTTTCCCTCCTCCTCGGCGCCTGCCTGGCGTTTGGAAGTCTTCGGATCTTTGAAAGGCAAAGGTTCTGAGCGACGGAGGCGGTTGGGGAGGGCGGAAGCGCCGGGCGCCCGACAGCTTGAGGTCCGCGTCCAGCCCACGTCCCAGCTGCCTCCTCTTCCTGCATCGCACCTCCTAGCGTTCGGGAGGTTTCGTAACCTCCGGAACTCTGATTCTGAGCTCTGAGGAGGGGCTGAAGAGGACGGGAAGAGCCCGGAGAACGGTTTTGTTTGATTGTGAGTCGACGTACCTGACATTCTGAGGCTCTGAGGACCTCGTACAGTCTGACCTGCCTCCATGCCGGGAGAACGAAACCGGCATGCAGCATCCCAGGTATGCACGAGGCCAAGTCAGTATTGGAAGAAGCGAAGAAGCTGCTGGCAGGTGTGGATGGCGTACTTGATGCTTGATGGATCGGTCCAGAGAGCTCTGATCTGCTTCAGCTAGACAAATCATCGACTTCACATTCTGGCCGGTCACGTTCATGATTTTATGATTGCTTTTTGGCCTCAAAATGGTGTAAGAACCGCCTGAATCCGGGTTTCAGGAAGTACCCCCTGCGAGACTAACCGCATCACCCCTGCGAGCAGTATGCAGCAGGATGTCGAACGGGACTATTTACAAGGTCAGTCCCCCCAGGTTATGCAGTCGAACCAAAAGGTTCATTCTTTTGCTTACAAATGTGCACTCGGTCTCTTCCGAGGAGACGAAGTGCACATTTGTAAGCAGCAAATACTTAAGAATTTTACCATACACAACAGAAAATTCTAATCAATTCAGCGCAAGACCAGATTCAGCGCCAGCAGCTCCCCAGTTCTCTCTATCATTCATCTTGTGGTTCTAGATATCATAGCTGGAATAGATCTCTACATCTGCCTGTTTGTGGGAAACATTGCATCATCAGATCTCACGAAGCCCTCCTAGCTTCTTCCACCGGGCTTCCAGTGCCAACCAGCTCCTTACCCAGTCGCAGATGTTCAGGGGATCGGCCTTAGGCCCGGTTCCAGCATCCTGGACCAAATTCCCCTCTGAGGCACGCCCAACGCTTTCAAGAAAGCCCCGGATGCCGTGGGGAGCTTTGAGCGGCTCCCGTGCCGATCTAAGCAGCTGTTCAAACGCTGGGCCTGATTTGTATTCCGATCCAAGGCGAACCACTTCCATGGCGCAGGGGGAGAAAATGATGGTGTGAAATACTCCCAGCAAGAGCAGAAAATCATCCTTGCTGTGGTTGTCGCCCAGCAAGTCCAGTGGGCGGCCCGCAATGCGCCCGCAACCTCCCAGGCCGCCCCCATTATGCGGTTCCCAAACACTGTCTGCAGCCTGATGGACTCCAAGTCCCCGCCGGGCATGGCGGATCTAAATACCTCCGAGTGCCACCTGGAGCCGTTGGCATCGATGAAAAAGTGCCTCTTTGACTTGTGGGGGATCTTCAACACCGTGCTCATGTCCTTTGGCCTCATGGGGTCCGCCTCTAAGACTTTGGAAACGTACTGCCCGACACCCCCCTGACTAATAACACCGGGATTCATCAGCAGATTGTGCAGGAAGTACTCTGGCAACTTCATCTGCCTGGACAGGGCAGCATAGTTAGCTTGAAGCATCCAACATGATGAGCTACAGGGACGGAAGTTGAGCGTCCAAACTGCTGCTGAGCGCGCGACCCACGCACCGGATGGCCATAAACACCCTGGTGACATTGGAATGTGCGATCAACTCTGCGGCTGCAATGGTGCCGTCTTTGATTGCCGCAGAGCCTGCCCGCATTCCCATTGCACCTGCTCCCTCTGCTGCTGTCCTGAACACCTCTTGATCTACAACCCCAGGTTCTCTCATGACCCTCTTCATGTTCTCGGGCAAATCTTCCGGCTTTTGGGTCATCAGCGCCTCAAGATAGGATGCCAAACCATGAGCAAAAGCGCCGCCGGCCTTGGCAGCCAAGGCGGCTACGGCCCCGGAGGGGGCCTTCCTGCCGCCGGCGGCTGCTGATTTGTCTTCCTGGGCAGGTAAGCCGCCGAGAACATTTCCAAGAGACTCAAGAAGCGCAACAGAAGAGCCCCGAATTGCATTCCCCGGCACGAGTTGGCTTTCGCCGGAGCTTCCGGTCTCCGTTTTGGGGCCGGCAAGTCCGGGTTCGTTTGAAGGGGCGTGAGAAACTCGAAGCCTTTTGGATTCCTTGCTCTCCGAGTCTTTCAGTTCAAGATCCCGTGCACCCCGCTTCAGCGGGCTCGATTGGGTTGAAGAGGAGGCTGAGGAGCGTAACACGCGTGCTGGGACATCCGGCAAACCAATGATTCTCCTTCAGCAGCATCCACTACCATTAAGTCAGGGGGGAGTTCCACAGCACGGCGACGGCTAGGCGTAACTGGAGGCGATTTCTCGTGAATTGATTAGACTAACGTACATATGGTGGAGATAATCTAATAGGACCGACCATCCGACGGTTTGAGCTGAATAGGCAACGCGGCTGCAATCCCTTGGACCCTTTGGAGGACTGCCCAAAAGTTAATTATAGATTTTTTTACAAGCCAGATGGCTCAATGAACTGTTCCAAACGCAATGGCGTCGTCGAACGAGCCCGTTTAAGTTGATTATGGGAGGTACGAGGAGGCAGTTTAGCGTTGTTTCACCACATAAACAAGGTCATGTGAGCTGAAGCCCACGGAGCCCTTCATCAATCTCTGTCTCCTCTGTCGACTTTGTCCTGCGACGATGCCCGAGTTCGAGCAGATTCTTACCATGTTTCTTATTTTTGCTTTGATGGGGATATGTCCCGAGGAAAACACCGAGCTCCACGTCGACGCCGAGGGTCACTTCAGCATTCACAGGGGCTCTGGTGGCGATGGAGGTAATGTTCTTTAGCGCCTGGTACCGTGGAATCGTTGCTCAATTTGCTATGTTGGTTTTTTCTGTTCAGGACCATCGAGACCAGTGAGCTCTATACCCGGAATCAAGGACTTTGCAACGGCGCTCTACGAGTTTCTGGACAAAGATTGCTTGATTCCCGATCTATTGGCGCAGGTGGCCGCATGTGCCGCGAAAATCAGGCTCGCTGGCGGATTGGCCTCGCAGCTCTCCGGCTTCAAAGCGGCCCTCGACCGCAAGAAATCCAACAACAAAGGGGCAGTCGAGTTTCTGAATGGCGCTTACAAACGATGCAAAGAGGATTTGGAGGATCTGGTCCGCGGTTTGGACGAGGCGGTCGGAAAAATCCTGGATGAAGGAGACTTGGGAAATAAGCCCGCACTCTTTGCGGCGCATGTTGCCAGCCTGCTCCAGGGGCACGTGCAGGAGGAGCTGCGCCCGAACCTCGTTTTGGCCAGGGTCCTGATCGAGGGGGAATGGAAACCCGTGTTTCTCCGCCGTTTTGTTGCCGGCACTTCAGTCAAAAACGAGAAGAAGAGGCGCCAGGATGAGGATGGTGGCGGTGGGGACGGAGAGGCCGAGGATGGCGGGGACGGCGTTGCTGGCGATGATTATGCCGGCCGTTGGGACGACGATGACATGCTGCCGGACGCACCGCATGATGTGCGCTCGGAGATGAAGCGCGTGGAACGCCAATTCCTTTCCATACCTGCCAGGTTGGGGCGCCAAATAGTGCGCGCGCGTGACGCCGGTGCCACGATCCCAGACGTGATTCTGAAAAGGGTGAAGGAGCCCGGTGGAAATTGGAAGCAGGGCGCCGAACTCACGGAGGCCCTGGCCGGCTTGAGCGCAGCGGTTGCTCACAAGTACCTCTGCACGGAGAGCATGATTGCCCTAAAGCCGCTGGTTCCTGGGGTTGGAGACCCTCTGAAGCCGAGTGATCTGAAGCGGCCCAGAGATGATTCCCTCCATCACGATGCGGTGAAGGAACTCGGCGCCAAGGAGGCCCGCGAACTGTGGGAGCGGACCCTGGAAGGACACTCTGTAATCCTCAATACGGACCCGGAGATCGAGGGAACATTGCCGGGCGTTCCGTTCGCCGTCCTGCTCGACAGGAACAATTTCGGCCCGCTGGTGAGAGGCGAGCTGACCAAGACGAACCTTAGAATGCTCATTGTACTGCAGAGCAAGGGCGTGGGTAGACCTTCTCCGGGATTTTGCCGCCTTTTGCGCCGAAGATCTGATTTTCGCTCTCCTATTCTAGCTCAAGGTCCCTCCGCAATTGCCCGTGGTCTGGCGAGTCTTGGGCAACGTCAGGATCCGTGTCATTCCAATGGGCAAGGGAATCCAGGTCGAGTACATGTTTGATCCGCCCTTCGACCCCGCGGAAGACCTGGGCTCGTTGAAGTACCAGATCG